TTTCTTGTTGGAAAAAGGGATACAATATCTGCAATAGGAATATATTTTTTTTTTGTAGAGGAGAAAAGCTTTAAGAAAACCTAATTTTCTTTCATTTTAAAGGAAATTAATTTTCCTTAAATTTCTTTAAAATTAATTAAAACTTGTATAATTTTAAATAAGATTAAAATAATAATCTAAAATGCTTTGTTTGCTTAGCACAAGTCATGTATTAACTGCAAATAATGTAATGTAGTCTTTGCTATCCTGTAGCCAAATTATTCAACTGCAACCGTGGCAGAGGCTATAGATGATGCCTCATGGCTTGAGGCTTATTTCATTTGCCTGTGGCTGTCATTGCAGCTTATATGAGAATGCTCTTACACCAAGACTTCAAATGGCCTTTTGCCTGCTGATATCCAGTAACTCAATCAGAGGCTCTACCTTTCGCCCTTTCTCCTCATATCCCACTCATCTGAAAATAATACCTTGGTGTTGACCTTCCAGATAAGGATACACAGTTATTAAAACACATATTCTCCTACACTGATGAGAAGAGCCCAAATACCTTGACTTAATTCTACTGACTCTTAAATTTGTGACTTTATGTTACTTAGCAAATCTTTAAAGGCCAAGAACTATAAGACACTTGCCCAAGACATACCTCAGGAAGAGTTTAAATCAGTTTACACATAGAAGATGACAAAGAGTCCCTTGAGTCCCTGTTGTCTACCACAAATAAATGCAAAACTGCTTACAGTCAAGTCCTAAGGCAACTTGTGATGGTGGTCTTAGCAATACCCACTTGCTCCATTCCTCTTACAGCAGAGATTTTTAATTGCCCTCAAAAGCCTGAGCAAACAGCCCTGTTGCTGTGGTGCACAGATACAATGGAGACCTCAGTAAAGCCTCTCAAACATCTATAAGTCAGAAGTGGCCATCACTGATTACATAGTGTTTCACACAGGTTACACATACACAGAACGAGGTCAATTTCCTTTCAATAAAGGAAGGTTATAGGACTACTACAGGTCTTAAAAGCATATGTGGAAGAACAGACCTCTTTTTAAATACTACAAACTGATTTTTGAGACACAGGAAATGAGTTTGATGGGGTCATAAGGGAACAAAGGTATGACCTCGGCAACTGAAGATGGAGAGCTTAGACTGGACTAAGTCAATGATTATAGGGCTTATTGTAGCATCATCTTGGGCTGTAACAGAAAAGGAAAAAATCCACACTGCTGCTTATTTGTACGTCAGTTTGGAGGACTGTGAAGACCTCCTTTAACTACACGTACTTGTTGTTGACCAGTGGTTTAGCACAAAGAAAAAGAAGGGTTTCTTTTTCTTTGCAGTTTTGCAGTTCCTCAGCATAGTGTCCATATGCATTTAGATTATTTTTAAAAAGAGATCCAGTGAGTGAGTTCTTTTCTCACAACTCACCTTAATTCACAAGGTTTACTTTGTGTTTTCATTATTATAAATGAAAACTTAATTTGTTGCAGGTGTTTTAAGGAAAATGTAGAAATAATAAGAGAAATAAAGTTTAAAAAAAAAAAAGTTAAATTATGTAGTTTTAAAACTTTCTGAAGAATGGCATTATAAAATTCCTTGTCTCTTGATAGTTTCCTTTTCTATTTGCCTTCAAAAACCCAATATAGTTCTGATGAATGAAAATTTAGAAACTGAATGAGGAACCAGAATAAATGCTGAAACTGTGGTGAAAAGTGTATTTTGAGTGGGATTTTCAAAAGACAACTCTCTCTGAAGCTGCTTCCACAGTTCTGTGCTAACATAGTAGAAGATATCCTGCATGAGAAGGTACAACCAGCTTATCCTACTCTAAGGATTCATTAAAATGTCAAAAGGAAAAATACACATAGAGAAAAGTTCCTACCCACTACTAGTTGTTCTAGGAGGATTGTTTCCCAGTTTGGTCAGAGCGCAACTGCTGAAGATCATCCTTCTGTTAAGATCCAGACCCAAATGACAAAGACAATGAAATCCTTCATTTTATCCCCCAGAGAGGTAATCCATTTTACTCAGCTCCCTACCCAACTCCTTGCATGCCACTCTTGCTGCAGTGTCAGCTCAGAGTAGTCTGGAACTTCCCATGAAATTGCATGTGGGTTGCTGGAGTTGCTTTAGTTATAACAATCATTCCTTTAACTAACAATTATTGAGCAGAAGTGCTATGTGACTTCTTAATTGATGGTTAAGTAACTGTGAAGAGCCCCGTATTCAAACTTACTAAATTCAGATCAAAACTAGTAAGAGCTTTAGGTCCCAAGCTTGAATCAGTGCTTGCTTAGACTGAATAATCTAATTTGATGCTAAAAAATAAATCAGTTTTAAAGTAAGTTTAAATAAAATTCAAAATACTGAAAAGTGTGGCAATTAAGAAATCAACCAATATTCAGTTTTGGAAGCTTGGATTTCTTCCCCAAAAGATAAGACACAGATGGGGGGAAAAAGAAGAAGAAAAAAAAGATTAATTACAAATTTCAAGCTGCTTCTTCCTTTTAGATCAAATACAGAAGAAACCATGAATAAGTTATTGTGTTCATAGATCCATTTCCCTCATAGTTACTTCTTATCATAATGTTGTACTCATTATTAAGTTTTAAGAAGTATGTTGAGGGGCATCAATCTTTTCTGTGAGCTCAGAATTATCTCGGAAGCTGAACTTCTGTCCCTGAAGTTATCCCTGAAAGTGTTCATTTGGTCTTGTAGTTAGGCCTACAGAGAAATACTGTACCTCTGAATTGTGGACTAAAGCCAGATACCTAGTTTCACTCTAAAGTCCTAAAGATAACAGTGAAATGTAACCTGATGATGAATAGACATTGCTAATTGTCTCCCACTGACCCGTGTTCCTGGCATTACACTAGGCATTAGCCTAACTGACAATTATTTTCAATATCAGTTAAGCCCAAACGTATCCATACAGTCATTTTGAGGCTGTTATTCCGAGTTCTTACATCTTAAAATATTTAAAAAACATTTCTCTGCAACAAAGACATTTTTTTTCCTGTCAATGTTGAATAAGCCTAACAGCTTCAGAAGTTCAATTTTTCTTCTGAAAAAAACCCAAACTCAGAACATTTAGCTAAAATGGATGATTTACCAAATTTGGTGTCTGCACTTTGCAGCTCTGTTGAAAAAACAAGATTATTTTTAAAAATAAATTTTTCTTCTATTCAAGAACAGTCTCATGTTATTTTAATACCTATTTATTTCTGTTTCCCAGTGGTACAGAAATACATGAAAATGAAAAACATAATAAGCAGTCTGGGAAATTTATTCATACACAGAAAATGTCTTGGAATGACTTCCAGTCAAATTATACACAGGGATGCAAATAGGATGGATTGTGGGAATTCTTTTATCCTATCCTATATCTTTATCTATTTATCTGTGTTTCAGCTGCTTCACTGATAAGAAAATTGACCTGTAATCTCTTTCTGCCTGCATTAATCTATTAACCTATTACAGGTTTGAAACACCCCTTCATAGTGAAAAGGAATCACAATTTATCATTCAGGACTAAGACAGTTAAATAAATAAAAGAAGTAAAGCTAAAACATACACATACATTGAAATATCTTCTCTCTGTGCCCACTCATAATGATAAAATACTGGAGAAAAACAGCTCTTATCTTTCCAGATTAAGATCATTTTTTCCCTATATTCAGTCATGATTTACAAATTTGAAGCTACTTTTTTGAATATCCTTCCTGAACCATGAGTTCAAGGAACTATGGGAGCCTCTTCTAAATGCAAAAACCCAACAAACAACAAACACACACACACCCCAATTCTCCCCCAAAAGACAAGAGGAGGCAACATTTACCAGCATCTTCAGAGTAACTTCAAGATCTCATACTGTGAAAAACAGTGGTCATGAAGACAAGCCAACTGAGCAACATTTCTTCCATGTATGTCGAGGAAATTGAAGCTGCTTTCTCCTAACACACTAGATCACTGACTATCTTCTTTTCAATACACGGTTATTACTCTTGGAAAATAACTTTTTAAAGTATTTAATACAATAGTAATAATATTTGAGAGGAAATGTTTCATTAGTAAAGAAGAGCACAAGGAGGGTCTATATGAGGAAAATGTGTGGCCTTAACATATACCTAGAAATTCCAGCCAGATAATAAAACAGAAAGTGATAATCCACAGGCACCCATGGATCCATTGAGCCCATGGATCATTAAGCAAATGTGAATGTTCCTGTAGCAATCCTATCAGTATCTCACACTTAGTGCCACCTATTTGAAAATTAAATGAATGATAGCAGTGTAAACACTTACCAAATAGGTATAACTGAAGTAGCCTGATATAAATGAAACAAGTTGATAAGTGTCCATCATGGGGTGCTTTCTTCCATGGCTCACTCATCTTGATTTTGAAATGGTCCTTATAAATGCCTTACCATAAGAGTGAAAGTTTTGGCAGTACAACTTGAAATTTACTGAAGCCTGGAAACTTTTTTATGTGACAATACATATTTAAATATAAATTTTACTTATAGTACTTATCCACTTTTTGAAATTCATTATTATTCTGTTTATATATAGTGACTGTGGCGAATAAGTCACTTGGATCATTCAAAGTTCTGAGCATTTATGGGACTGAAAATTTTACATAGCCACTGTCTACCTTATGGTGAGTATTAATTTTTAAATTACAGTTTCAGCAAGAAGGGGTAAGAACTTCAATATAGGAAAAAGTAGAAAATGCAATGTCATACCAAGTGCAGATAATACAGTGTCTCACAATGCAGTTTAGGAACCTGAATTTCTTTTACGCATCTTTGTAACTTGTCATATACCTATGTAAAATCAGTAACATAGTCTCGATGTCTACACAGCTGTCTTTATACAAATCTATTCTTGTACGTCCGATTATAGACATAAAAAGTCATTACACAGAAATGCATATTGTATATTATATGCATGAATGCTAAGTTTCATTCTTTGGCACTAACAAATCAGGAAATAAAAACTTACCGTTCTTCTTATAGAACATGATTTCTCCTTTGAATTCTACCTTCTCCTCCAATGATTTCTCAATTTGAATAATCATCTGCTCGTTTGTTTCAGCACCAAGTAAAAATTTACAGCTGCAGCTCTTCTGCATAACTTCAGTTCGTGCAAATCCAGCAAGCTCACAGAAGCCATCTGAGCAGTAAACAATAGGGAATCCCTTAGCCACCTGAGCATTTGCGAGAATGAAGTTGCTATCTGTGGAAGAACACAAAAGTAGAACATGGATTACAGTCTGAATTCTACATAATTTGACATAATACTTCCTTTAGCTCCATAGGAAGGCACAAATGGACATACATTTAAAAGCAAAGTCCCAGTTGCCTGCAAACAAGAATGTAACTTCTGGTTTTAGACCATTAGTCTAAAATGAAATTAAGTCTAACAGTCCACAGAGCACCTTGATACAATGGTTCCTATGGATACGTACAGCTTGCACCATTGCATCCCCGAGCAATAATTTATAACTGCCTCCGAGATGGATATTAGCACATTAAAACAATGACTTGACCAGAGACTGGTGACAAACATGGTAGCTTTTGAGAAATTTCAAAGATGCTGTGTTATGTTGCAACTCAGACTACTCCGCAGTCTGAACAGACGCAGCTATATCTTAAAAAAAATCTCTCTATGCTTTCTAAGCTAAAGCTAGCCTTTTGTCAACACTCAGACTAATTTCTATTATATAATTTTGAATGGGAATCCTTAAAAATAAGGCTGAAGGACATCCGGAAGCTACATGGAATTGTTTGTCCTTTGTTTTCTCTTTGTGTGTGTGTGTGTGTGTGAGGGAAAAAGATTTAATACAAAAGCAGTCAGCTGTCTTCCAGAGCCCCAACATACTTCTTCCCTATGAAAGAGGTACATCAAAGATTCACAATCCTGTTACACTTTGACGCACTTTATAATTTTTCAGTGTGTGTAAGATGCAACTATCATGTATGATAAATTCAAGAACTGACACGGACATCAATCAGCAATAAACAATGTCCTAAATTGAGTTCAGATCTTTGCTAAATAATAGCTCATTTCCACCCCTTGCTGAAGTGTCTTTGAAGTTTTTGTGCCTTAGACTCTCATCTTCAGTTTACGTCAGCAGCTCTAGCACTTTACAGTCTTTTTAAATTAGCATGGAGATCCTTTCCAAATAATATATGAAGTTTTCACATAGGTTTTTTGCCCATATTTCCTTATCTTGAAGTGGGAAAAAAAAAAAAAAAAAAGTTTTATGGGAGGAATCTGTCTACATTTCATATTGACAGAGGAAAGACTATTTTTTTTGCCTATTGCTTATTAAGGAATGTTTACCTTAGAGCTTGCTAGCAGGAGTTTAGGAGCGGTCTAGTCCCAAGATAGATACCTCTCATTTTTCAGAACTATGTGCATGTGAATTCATGTGTATGTATTAAGGGAAAATGCTATTAACTAACTGAGAATCCCCTGATAAATATTCATAAATTTAAAGACAAATAATGAACTATTTTAATGGAAAACTCAGGCTGATATGCCTAATCCCCATACAGGGATATATTATTCATGAATGGAGAAAGGAAGAACAGAATTCATAAACTAAATAGAGGAAAAATAGGTCTGTTTCAGCCTTAACTGTCACAAGAGTTCTACATCCATGAAATTTCAACAACTTCAGCTATGTTACTCTATTTACCCAAGGGATAAAATACTATAGCTGATACTGCTAAGATTTCAGTACTTTAAAGGTAATGCTGAGGTTTATTAAATGATCAATTTGCTCTTCAGACTTTATTTCAGTTATTCATCTTTTGCTTAAATCTGATTAAAGTGTTTCAATAATGATCATTATAATAAAACAGATTTTTCTAATTTAAAAATAGTGTGATTTAAAAATGCATTCTGGTTCAGTAAAGAGCTTGACTTAACCTATCATTTTTATTTGCCTAACTAGGGAATAAGTATCATTACCATTCATGCACTGACATGATGCTCCCCCTGTCAACACAAAACAAAATCCTGACATCACCAAAAGAATTAAAATCATATGCTTGCAGTGCAGTTTAATGACAGCGTTGCATTGTAAGACCTGCAGTTCATACTTTTCAAATGCATCTGTAACCTATCAAATGAATTTACTCCTGGGTTTCTTATTGTTTGAGATACAATTATGTGACGCTAAGACTTTTTTTTTTTTTTTTTTTTTTTTTTTGCATGAGACAGAATATGAAACACTGAAAGGACAGAAAGGGTAAGGAGGATGTTCTCAGAATGCAGGAGTGTTAGAATATAATTATGAACAGGAATACACTGGATCTTACAAAGTATATCTTGATTTTATGAAAAATTTAAGATGGCCAAACTCTGCTGTCATTTACATCAAAATAAACCCAGAATACTTTTGGTTACTTTAACATTCATAGAAGATAATTTACTTTCAAAAGCCAATCCAGTGCCAGCTAGAATAATTAACATCAGCAGATGTTTGATAAGGCTTATAAGACTAATTTTGCTGAACTTTGAGTACAACAGTAAAGCACCATCTTCAGGAAAATACAATCAGAAATGTATTTCTATTTTTCTTGAGCTTCAAGTTGAAATCAAATGGTGAAAGATGTGCTTGCAATCCCAAACTCTTAGACTAAGGGACATATTTAAATAATATATTGAAAAATTCCTTGTAATATTTAAGGATCAAGCAACATAATTTTGTCCAATAATTACCTGTTTCACCAAATTCTTCAGTAATATTTATTAAGTGATAATTAACGTTTAGCTATTACGCCAAACATTTAAAAAATAAAATATTCTGTTTATTTACTTCTGTAATTTATTTTGATAGCTTGGAATCTTTTATATCACTTGCTATTTGTACTGCACATGAAGCACCATAAAATATTTCAAAAAACAAGAAATGAGAGTGAAATTTTATCGTTCAGGCCTCAGTGTGACACAAATAAAAACCCCAGCATTTAATTCTATGATCCCCAGTGATAGCTACCTGAACCTTAAAATCCAGAATAGGAAGAATGAAATTTTATTTAGAATAATTTATTAGAAATCCATGGACTGGAAGACAGCACTTTTGCTTATCTTTGAACTTACAGTAGGAAAATTGCAATGAGTGGTACAAACTTACTGCTCTGTATATTTTGGTACGTTTATGTGTAGATTCTGACACTTCCATTGTAATAAAGATGACTTTGAATTCCATATTATTCTTTCAACATATCAGCCTGAATATTAAGTTATTTTATTCAGGTTGGTTGATCAGGAGACAGAACTAGATTACTTTGTTTGTTGGTTGGGGGGTTTTGTTGTTTTGTTTTTGAAGGTTGTTTTTTTGGTTTTTTTTAGAGAAGAAAATACATCCAATCTAAAATCATGATCACTTGAGAAAGATGTAACTTGAGCCTTTGGGACTGTTTCAGAGTACAGGGCATTTGCAACAAGAGAACTGCTGCAAATCTGCATACAATCTAAAAGAACAGATTTTGACAAAATCATGAGTAACACTCTTCAGAAATTAAGGGCTGTAGGTCTGTGCAAAATAAACAAAATTATTTTAATTTTAAATTATGTATTTGTACATTAGTTTTTGATAAAAATACTTGGATGCATGTTCAAGTCTGCATGTGATGTGTAAAGGATGATTTAAAAGTGCTTCTGTTAAAGATAAGAAGCCTCGACAAAAAAAATCCAACAACATTCACAAAGTTTTCCTTCAGTACACCAGCAGAGACAGATTAATATGACAGAGGTATTGCACAACTCTTCAGCACAATTTAAAAGCAGATTTGTTTCAGCCATGATTCTTTTCTTTTAAGATCATTTTCTATGAAGATCAAATGACTTTTTTACATGGAAGTTTGAAGGAGGACTATTAGGAGCTTGCATGCCTGCATTTGCTTTGGAAGCAGGACATATTGGAGTGGATAGGACATTTATCAACAGAAGACTTGCATGCTTCCAGAAACCTCTGCCAGACACATAGCATAAACTTGGAGACAATTAAAGGAGCTGAACCAGAACCATGCTAACTACACCTTCAATCACAGCCTTACACACCGTTGCCCTGTTTCAATGACCTCATACCCCAAAATTATAACCTAAGAAACAGAATGAATTTAGATCACATGCCATCTTATACAGAGAGATAGGTTTGTTAAACATGCCATGACAGAGTTTTAGAATTGAGATAATTAAAGGGAAAAGGCTATTATGCAATTCTCCCTTCATAATTAATGTACACAATTTATCTGACTGTTTTTAATGAGACCATGCTACAATTAAAGTCAGCACTCCCTTGATAAATCTTGCTGCCATCCCTTACTGACAGAAGGGTTTTTTCTTTAATACTGTAGCTATGTCTGCTATAAATCTAATCGTTGTTTTTCCCCAGCTCTCGTAACAGTTCTTTCCATCAAAGTCTAGATGATTTCTGCATGTCTTCATCTTTATCAGTGAAGAGAACATCTATCTGACTTCTTGTGCAACTGAGCACAGCCAACCACCATTATAATTTTAAATATTAAATCATTTAGGAATTAAAAAGGAAGAAAACCTACAAAAGAAAAAAATCCCTAGCAATCAAAGAAGCTGCATTAATTAAACAAGTGACTTACATAGTTACTCTATCAAATAAAGAACGGTCAGTAATTCTTTTGGATGAAAGGTTTTACTACATGTACGTTTGATTCCATAGTTTCTACATGGGCAACTTAACAAGAGAAGTCTCATCCCAGGTTCACACAAATTACTGTTACAGAGAACATGACCACATTAACAGTTAAGATTACTTAATTGAATGATTAAAACAGCATATGACAACATTTAGCTTTATGTCAGCACATTTATCTGTGAGTTTAATTAGAGTTCAAGCTCATTTAAAAACTACATTCCTTTGAATCTGATTGAGACCAAAATGATTTTATAATGCATACAATTCCACACATTAAAGTTCATCTTGAAAATCTAAGTGTAGTTAACTGGGTCACTACTATGAGATTAAGATTTATCCAGATCTGCGTGAATCAGAAAAAACATAAATTGATTATACTGGTACCCCTTCCCACTCTTCACTAAAAAAATACTGTGTATTCCAGTGAATTTACAGTAGTACAGGAAAAGGTAGAACTATTATGTAATAATCTACAAGTATGGACTGATGAACAAAGTACCCATCACTGTAAGCTGTATAATTTATTTAATTGGCAAAGTCATTTCA